ACGCCAAGGCGTAGAGGCTGCTCTTCCCGCAGCGCCGGAGACGTAGCAGTCTCAAAATAGATACAGAAATCCTTCTGAATCAGTCCCCTTATCTTTTTATGATAAAGGGGCTTTTTCTCATAAAATGGATTTATATTTACATTATAAATGCAAACATGAAAAAAAATGTAGATATTTTAGAAATCGATTTTTTGGGAATCGATACATCAGCTTACAATTAGAATCTATTTAAAAAATCGATCTTTTTCGGAAAGAATCGACATCCCTACTGACAATAACAATAAAAAATGGCATCAGTTGTACGGTAGGAATTGACATAGGTAAATATTGAAAAAATAGTTGATTTTCAAATTTTTTTTTCTCAAAAAGTACGTGTCCCTGAATGTTGAAACTGCGTGTGTGCTTATAATAATGTAGGGTGCGTTGGGGTAAGATCGGTGATCGGGCAAGACCGTAGGATAATAGGATTCAAATTCCCGGCGAATTATGCTATATTTTGAAATGCTAACAATAAGCTAAACGACCCTATTTCATCCTGCCCCGACCCTCAGTTCCATAGATAATATACTATATAGGGTAGGGTGCTCAGTTCGCGCCAGTCGCTCCGGCAAGTGGGACCTGAGCTGCGCGGCATTTTATAAAACAATGTAATTTTTGTATTATTTTTGTCCATCCGATCTTTCCCTATCACTTTTATTTACGATTTTTAACGAGAATATGGCTTCTTTTGTTATTATTTTGTGCGGATACTAAGTTTTATGATATTATAGCTAGATAAAGCTGGTCCATGCAGGGCTAAGATCGCTGTAGGCCGAGATCCGATGTTTCCCCGCGTTAGTGAAGATCGGATGAATATTATCCGATCTTTGCCCGTTACAAATATGGCAGTAGTTGTTAAACTTTCATTTGTCGTGTATATTTTTTCGGAGATTACTCAAGTGACTATAGGACTCAGTCTCGTTAGCAAGTCTGTATATTTAAAAGTAATAAAACAATACGATGGTTTTATTACTTTTAAGTACACATTAAAATACATTTTTTTATAGGATAAGGGTGACAAAGGAGCACACAGTCCACCTGATGTTAAGTGGTTGCTGCGGCCGATCTATCCTCTATTACAAATCAAAATGTAATTTATAATTATTATTTAAAAAATAATTTATAATAATAAATTACACGTTTATCTCATTAGATAAAGTTTAGAACTAATTCAGTTTCACGGAAAACTTTCAACCCACGTTTCTTTTCCTGGCCTAGTCAACTTTGCTTTACTTTTTCCGACTTCATGCCCTTATTCTGATTCTAATTAACTCTATAAATAAGCTCATGCCTGCTTATTGATACACATACAAATATGAACACAAAATAATCTATCAATTAACTACTTACCTAACTACCTGCTTCGTCATATGCCGCTTTGCTAAAATATTTACATCTTCCTCAACTCCTGTATTATCCCAGGGCATTTCGCCAGTCCTTACTGTTAATTTTTTTCCCATAAAAATATCAAATGCATCCGATCTTTCCCTTACGAACGATAGTTACTTCATCATCAAAACAATTTTATGAAGATAAACTTTGTTCTTTAGACCATGTTATTTGGACGCATAGCTTAAGATATAATGTAAAATTAAAATAATTCAATACTTGGCTGGGCGCGCGAACTACGCATAAACCCTAGCCGGCCGGTGAGAACTGCGAGAAGCCAGAGCGAGGTTAGTTCAATAATTATAGCTAAAATAAATTGAGTACTTTTATGACAATGATTAGTTACATCTTTATTTCTGAACTCTTTCATTTCACGTTGCTATGGTCTTTTTCTTTTTTTTTATAGGATTGGGTGACAAACGAGTACACAGTCCACCTGATGGCAAGTGGTTACTGTGACCCATAGACATCCACATCCATCCTCAATAAAGACTCAAGATGCAGATGCGTTGTCACCCGTGAGGACTAAGATGGAATGCCTCTTTGCCAGTAAAAGGGTCTCCGGTTCTCTACACTCACCATACGAAACACAGCAGCGTTAAGCTGCTACTTTACGCTGGTCTTCTGTGAGAGCGTGGTCCTTCCCCGGTCGAGCCGACCCATTCGTGCTACAACCATAATATAGCTGCAGCATGGCTCTACCACGTAGAGCCATGCTGCAGCTGGTATTTTGAAAATTTAATTGATTAATAAGTATAAGTGATTGATAGATCAAGAATCATTTCATGCCTACACACGTCTCATGTGTCGTGTACGGTTTTCTTTAAAACTGGAAAAAAACCGCGCTTCGGGACACTTTCAGTGACGTGGGGGGGGGGGGACGCTCAACCGGGAGGGGGAGGGAAAGTGGATAAAACTTAAGTTCGCTCTACATCACACATAATGTGCCGACAGATAAAAGTACTCCATTAATTATGCCAATTTTTCCATCCATTGCTATCAAATAAAATATTTAATTTCAATTATAAAATGCTTTAGGGCATGTCGCGCACCTCCGACACGTGATGACGCGGGTGAAACCGCGGGGCACAGCTAGTCTCTTTTATAAACTTTTTTCTCTAAGCAGTAGAAGTGGTTATAAATTAAAGTCCGGTCTGACCCCTTAATGGCCAATTTTTCATTATGCATATAAAAAAGTATGTCTAGTTTTCGCACACCTTTAAAGCAAAAACCGTTGAGTTTACACAAGCAAAAGATTCTCAGAGCTAAACTACGTTTAACGATTAACGGTTTGCTCCATGTTCCAGAAATCTGACGTATACGGATGTCGAGAAATTAAAGTTTTTGGCACTCTTCCAACTATTCGAAAATCCGTCCGGTATTACCCCAACGCACCTTAACCTTTCTGTAATAAAAATATCAACCGCCAACTTGACGGATGGCAATGTTGATTGGCATAAATATTGCAAAAATAATTGATTATCAATAATTTTTTTCTCAAAAAGTACGCCTTTCCGCATGTTGAAAGAGCAATGGCAGACTTTCATACATAAAATTAGTTGAGAAGAAATGGTAGCGTCTATATACCAAAAATATCTTAAAATGTTAAGCGTCAGTCCCTTAATAACTCTGTCAAAGAATTTTGTACTGAGAAGGCGTCAAAAAAAAGATATTTACATTTGAACCTTTTTAGGTTATGTCCTATGTCACTTAGAAAGAGCCATGCTTCCGGTGGTTGTTTGATGTTAGCTTAATAAATAATACATAATTGAGATTTTTTAGGTTATTGTATCTCTATTATATATTTGCATACTATGAATGTATATTTCTGACATGGCTCCAGGGCTTTTGTATCATAGTGACATTCACAGAAGGGCTAGAACCCAGAGCCGTAAAGCCAGTAAAAAAAACAGTGACATTTTATTTTAGCTAGTGTTGGCATAACATTAAATGGAATTGTTACTTAGTACTTACTATGATTGAGATAATGTATTATTGTAGGAAATTCTTTGTAAGAGACTTATTCTCAGCCATATCACTTTTATTGTTATTATTACTGATAGTACAGTTATTACTAATAATAACTTAATATAAAAATATTTTGTGTTGTGTTGGTAGTGTTACAAAGTGTATACGAAAATAGTATGAATATACTAAATGGCAACATTTGAATAGAGTAAAATGATTTAAGCCATTTGATATTCCCAAAAATGTTAGTTTTTTTCTGTGGCTTTAATTGAGATACATTTTTATTTGAAAAATCATAGAAAAATAATAAAATTCATTTTATATATAACTTATTTCTAGACGCTATAATTTTTCTCAACTATTTTTCTGCCATTGCTCTTTGCGTGTGTGCTTATAATAATGTAACCTTTCTGTAAAAAAAATATCAATCCCCGACTCGAACCGAAGAACACACGAAACAAAAAGGAAAAGGTGGATCTGCTTCTAGTCAGTGCTTATGAAAAACCCCTGCCAATTGATAAAAATGAATACAAAGGCCTTTTGGATCTTGGTAAAAGTCACGTCAGATAGGTATTAAAAGAATATCACTTATTAGATATATAGATTAGATTACAGGCAATATTAATAATGATGAGTCTGACTGTGATTAAAAGAACCTGATTCACTTACTCAGATATTGTTTTTTCGTGAAGATATTTTATTTTATTTAATTTTACTAACAAAACAGATACTTACAAAAATACCATTGTATTAAGAAGAGAAATAAGACATTTTATTTCGTTAATTAGTTTTAATACAAAAAAAAAAATGTTTTCTACCTTTATGAGTGGTTAATAAATATAAATTGAATATGTTTTAATATATAATAAATAACAAGAAATAAAGTTATTTTCTTTTATATGAAAAATAAACAAGCTAAAAGCTTAATCAATTTACTGCTACTCCATCAAATCGATTTTGGACATTAAAATCAGTGTATAATGAGTCAACTAATTTATTATTGTTTATACTGTAGATACAATCTCAGTAAATTAATCCAAGAAAATGATGGGCCGCGGATGTGTGCGAAAGCGTTACCATGGCCCTGTCAATATGCGACGAAGGTGGGACACCATGGGGTTTTAGTCGGTGCGAGTGCGACTTAACCCATCCTTGCCCCGCGAGGCGGGTATGCGTAGGCATTTCCCCATATAAAACAAAAAAAAATCACTTAAAACATTTAAAATTTAACCTATTTTTCCACCTATACAAAAAACCTTTACGTCGAATATAGAATGTACTTCTTGAAGACGTTTAAAACATTTTATGTGCCCTACTAAATAGAGCGCTGAAACCATGCTTAAGTTCTTGACGCACTCACGCACACACATCTTTCTTCGTTATTTCTTTATCAACTCTTTAGTTTGTCTAGTTTGATCAATTATGAACCTCACGATTAGGAGTTTAAAAAAAAATATAAATTGTAACATTGGGCTTGTTTATTAATTAAATAATAATAAATAAATGCATTAAAATAAAACCCCTAAAATCCCATGATCTATATTGATCAATTATTTAAAAAAAAAAGAAGATTATATTCATAAATTACACTTGTGACATGTTAGTCATTTTTCCAAACTTTTTTTCAGATTTTCGGCCAATTTGTCCATAAATTCGAAAGTTTCATAGTAATCTTCTCTCTTCACATTATTCATGCCCTTGATACAAATCGCAAGATCCTTGGTCATTATTCCAGATTCAATGGTATTAATGCATACACTTTCTAATGTTTCAGCAAATTTCTTAAGTTCAGTATTATTATCAAGTTTGGCACGGTGTAAAAGACCTCGGGTCCATGCAAATATAGAAGCGATGGGATTAGTCGATGTTTCCTTGCCTTGCTGGTAGAAACGGTAATGTCTAGTAACAGTTCCATGGGCTGCCTCAGCCTCAACAGTTTTACCATCAGGGCATATCAAAACTGATGTCATAAGACCTAAAGATCCATAGCCTTGAGCTACAGAGTCTGACTGAACATCTCCATCATAATTTTTACAAGCCCAAACAAATCCACCTTCAGATTTCATAGCATAAGCAACCATGTCATCAATAAGTCTATGTTCATACCATATTCCAGCAGCCTCAAACTGTGATCTGTAGTCTTTCTCATAAATTTCTTGGAAGATATCTTTGAAGCGACCATCATACTTTTTCAGAATAGTGTTTTTGGTACTGAGATACAGTGGGTATTTTCTGTCCAAAGCAAACTTAAATGAAGAATGCGCAAAATCTACAATGGAGGCATCAGTATTAAACATACCAAGAGCGACACCAGGACCTTTAAATTCATTGACCACATATTTAATAGGCTCCCCAGAAGGTGGCGTCCAGGTAAGTTCCAGTTTACCTTCTCCAGGAACAACAAAATCTGTCGCTTTATATTGATCAGCGTGAGCATGACGGCCAATAATTATTGGTTTTTCCCAACCAGTTACCAGACGAGGAATGTTCTTACAAATGATAGCTTCTCTGAACACAGTACCACCAAGAATGTTTCTAATTGTCCCATTAGGGCTCTTCCACATTTTCTTCAGCTTAAATTCTTCGACTCTCTTTTCATCAGGAGTAATTGTGGCACATTTAATGCCAACATTGTATTTTTTGATAGCATTAGCACAGTCAATAGTTACTTGGTCTTCAGTTTTATCACGGTATTCGATACCTAAGTCGTAAGTATGTAACTCTATATCCAAAAATGGCAGAATAAGCTTATTTTTAATAAGATCCCAAATAATTCTTGTCATCTCATCACCAAGCACGTCAACAACAGGCCCTGCCTTGATTTTCGACATTTTGATATCTGTAATCAAAATTAAAAATTATGACTTCTACATTTTATAGTAACAACATTATTAATTTATATAATATCTATTATATATTTATATATTATATTTCATATATCAATATTTAGTTTTGTAGATACAAAAAAGACTAGGAATTTAAAAAACTTTCCAAATCGATCTCCTTCGGTGGTGGAGAGATGTATAATCTATGTTAATAGTGAAATTTGAATAAAATTTTCGGTCGATAATTTCTCATATAAACTCGGCGTAACAAAATCGCACCTCCCCGAAAAAAAATTACTTGAGTATCTGGCTCTCAGTGTTTACATTTAATCAAGTCAATATTGGTACCTACTGGAAGTGCGTTTATTAACCTTTAAATTAACAACTGTTTTGTTTCATAAACTTAAGAAATCTCCTGAGTCGTCTGAACGTCTCTTACGTTGAAAAAACTATTCTAAAAATACGCGTCATAAAGATCACTAGTTACGGTGAGTTATGTGCTAATATGGGCTAATATAGGGCTAAGATGGCTATCAGAGTACAGAACCAGAGTACGAAACCTATCCAATTGCAGAGAGGTGTAAGACAGGGTGACGTTATATCCCCGAAACTCTTCACCGCTGCATTGGAGGACGTTTTCAAGCTTCTGGACGGGAAAGGATACGGTATTAACATCAATGGCGAGTACATCACTCACCTTCAATTTGCCGACGATATAGTTCTTATGGCAGAATCGCTGGAGGATCTTAAGCACCATGCTTAATGACCTCAATAGTGTCTCCCAACGGATAGGTCTTAAGATGAACATGGACAAAACAAAGATCTTGTTCAATGTCCATGTCACACCTATGCCGGTAGTTGTTGGGAGCACTAAGCTCGAAGTTGTTGACGAGTATGTTTACTTGGGACAAATAGTCCGACTAGGTAAGTCCAACTTCGACCCAGAGGTCAATCGACGGATTCAACTCGGCTGGGCAGCGTTCGGGAAACTACGACACATCTTCTCGTCAGACATTCCTCAAAACCTTAAAACGAAATTATACAACCAGTGCGTGTTGCCAGTGATGACTTACGGATCTGAGACGTGGTCCTTCACTGCTGGCCGTATGAGGAAGCTCAAGGTCGCTCAGCGAGCTATGGAGAGGTCTATGATCGGAGTTTCTTTGCGTGATAAACTTAGAAATGAGGATATCCGCAGTAGAACCAGAGTGACCGACATAGCCCAACGGATTAGTAAGTTGAAGTGGCAGTGGGCCGGCCATATAGCTCGAAGAACCGACAACCGATGGGGAAGAAAGGTTCTTGAGTGGCAGCCTCGTACCGGTAGGCGAAGTAGAGGGCGACCCCCCACGAGATAGAGTGACGACCTGGTAAGACATGCAGGAAGTCGATGGATGCAGGTGGCTCAGGACCGTGCTTTGTGGCATTCCTTGGGGGAGGCCTATGTTCAGCAGTGGACTTGTGAAAGGCTGTAATGATGATGATGGTATGCTATAAAAGGGCCGGTACAGGTAAAATGAGTCATTCGCTTTCAAAACGTTAAAGAGGATACAATTTTTGAAGCTAGCTAAAAACCCCACAATATGGATACCACTGCTGGTGCAGCCGCTCAAGTGATTGCGCTACTGCAGACAGGTATGCGACAGTGTGATGTCGCTCGGCAACTAAACCTATCCCGTTTTTCTGTTCGACGAGTATTTCAACGGTTGCAAGGACACCGGTGGCTACATTCGGAGGGGTGGATCTGGGCAACAGCGCTGCATATCTCAAAGAGACGATCGATTCATTGTATCGACATCTTTACACAATAGATTATCGTATGCTGTAGAACTGCAACAGCAGCTACGATCAGCTCGCAGAACATCTGTAAGCGTCTCTAAGATCAGAAGACTGTTAAGACAAAATTGACCGCACAGCATCGTAGAGATCGATTGCAATTTGCACGTAATCATATTGATTGAACGATCGACCAATGAAGGACGGTACTTTTTTCGTATGAGACGAGAGTGTCTTTTCTGATAACAATTTTTTTTTTCTGATAATGATAAACGCAGAAGAGTATACAGTAGGCAAGGTGAACGATTTGCACAAGCCTGTATTGAAGAAACAGTTGGATTCTAGGGTGGCTCATGCATGTTCTAGGTGGCATGTCAGTCAACGCCAAAAGCAGCCTTGTCTGCGTTTCCCGGAGTGGAGGTGCCCGTGGTCAAGTGTCGCTGACTGCTCGCCGATACGTAATGGAGGTCCTGGAAGAACATGTGGTTCCAGACGCGGGTTTTGTTGGCGATAGATTTACATTAATGCATGACAACGGCCGCTGACACACTGCATTAATTATACGTGATTGCCTTCAAGAGGTCGGGATCACTGTTATGCGGTGGCCGGCGCAAAGTCCAGACATGAACTCGACAGAGCACCTCTGGGATGATGTGCTTTAGATACGAGTACGGGCTCGTGATCCTGCCACATCCACACTGCAAGAACTCGAGGAGGCTGTCATTGAGGAATGGGACAACATTCCTCAAGAAGGCGTTGTTACGTTGATTAGATCAATAAAAACCGTATGGAAGCAGTAATTAAGGCAAGGGGTGGTAACACTAGTTTTAGGCCGCTTAAAAACATGTTTTTATTTAATTTAGTAAGTTGCAATAAATAATAATTTTCTTTTTTTTATAGGATAAGGGTGACAAACGAGCACACAGTGCACCTGATGGTAAGTGGTTGCTGCGGCCCATAGACTTCTACATCTATCCTCCATTACAAATCAAAATGTAGATGCGTTGTCACCCGTGAGGACCAAGATGGAATGCCTCATTTCCAGTAAAAAGGGCCTCCGGCCACCTGCACTCACCTGTGGTGGCTGTGATGGCTCTATCACTGATTGAAATTTTTCTTGTTGACATTAACTTTTTTTATTCCCCGGTAAAAACACATGACATCCATTATTTTTTCTAATGAGTAAATTTAATTACCTTTCCAATGATATAACATACTCATAGATTTTTTTTTTTTTATAGGAGAGGGGGCAAACGAGCATGCGGCTCACCTGATGGTAAGTGACTACCGCCGCCCATGAACAACCGCAACACCAGGGGAATTGCAGATGCGTTGCCGGCCTTTTAAAAAGGAGTAGGCTCTTTTCTTGAAGGTCCCTAAGTCGTATCGGTCCGGAAAAATCCCTGGTGGTAAACTATTCCACAAGGAAGTTGTGCGAGGAAGAAAACATCTTCTAAATCGCACAGTGGTGGACCGCCAATCATCCAGATGGTGTGGATAGTATCGGGAGTTCTGCCGCGATGTGCGTTCGTGAAATTTGGCGGCTGGGATTAATCCGAACAATTCCTCAGAGCACTCCCCATGGTAGATGCGAAAGAAAATGCAAAGAGATGCAACATCTCTTCGCAGCACCAATGAATCGAGCCATTGATTAAATGGATTTAAAAGTAGTTGGAAGTAGAAATATAAAGAGGTGCGATTTTTGTGACGCCGAGTGTATATTTGTCCAAGTTTTCATCATGCAATTCAATTTAAATAAAAGCTTGTTCAAATAAACTACCTTGCTAATATTAATTGCACTCCTAAAAAGTCCAATCATAAGTCCCAAACTTTTTGTTACTTTTTGCAAACTTTATGTTGTAATGTGTATACAGTACATTAAATACTACAATTGAGCTCAGTTATATAATTAAAAATTAAAAATGTTGTACTTGGTTGTACAACATTTTTAATTTTTCAATATAAATTATTAAAAATAACTCAAACACTATTGGTCAGGCCTTGATAATCAACCACTTGAACTTTATATGGAACCACATGAGAAGCACTAGCTTTCAAATAAAAAAAGAATCATCTAGATCAGTTCAACCAGAAAAGGTTATGAGATACACATAAAAAAAAGAACATACATTTGAATTGAGTATACCTCCTTTTTGAAGTAGGTATAAAATAGGCCCAGATTCATATATAAGAAAGATACTGAGTGGACAGAGTAAAAAGAATATACTTTCAGTAATTTAGTAGACTTCATGACTCTCAGACCTTAGACTAATAGAGCTCAGACTTCTAGTCATCATTTTCTTAATTTTTATATATGTGTAAGTGTAATATTTTGTATAAAATAGTAAATAACTACACCATAACACAAGTTTATGTAACATATTTGCATTTAAAGTTCAAATGAAGCAATAAGTGATCTTAATTTATAATCAAAACAATTGAGACAGCAAGGTTGCTAGTTGTTATAAACACAGCAACCTTGATTTAATATTTTGTAGTAGAACTTTGCATTTTGTTTTGTATTTGTAAAGTAATATAATTCAATTGTTTTTTTTTTTTATTACAACACGACGTATATACATATACTAGTGCCGATTTTTAAATAGTGTAATATGCCATTGATATCTTTTTGTGAACAAAACTTACAAAAACTAACTGTCCTAAACCTTACTGGTCCTAACTCCTAATGCCGTTTTCTTCCATTATGCATGTACTATGAAATCAAATTTTGTCATCAAAAGCAAAGATTGCTAAAATGTATATCCTTGCATTCATCAACTACCTGCCTGCATGTTTCATCAGGCCGTCAAAATATCTTTGTGGCTACCAACTGGCTTTCCTAGCATGGCAACAAAGGCATTTATCCCTCTAAGAGGTTTCCTATAAATCCTTAAAGTTACAGCCTACATAAATCCCACTGGCGAGTACAGGCTTTCTTTCATTTTCGAGAGGGTCTTGGGGCACGGAAATGGCTGCCGCACTGTCCCAATAGTAGCGGACTTCACATGTCCTTGGATTTTTTTATTTTCTCAAAAATGCAGGTTAGCAGGTCACAATGTTTTCCTGCACCAAAGATCACGTGGTAAACCAGCACTTAAAATTGCAATTACCAATATCATTAATGCTAGCGGGGATTCAACCCGGGTTGCTCGCCTATTGTGAAATTTACAGTGAAGGCTTAGCTCATGAGCTAGGTACCACGGCTTATAAATCAAAGACTATAAATCACAGACAGCTTAGCTCCTGAGCTAACATGGTTTATAAATTATAGACTATAAATCACAGATAAACAGATAATTATTTTATGTTGGTTGTCCATAATTTATACAATGGACACTGCTATTGATCACCTATCTAGAAGTAAAATAAAATGCTTAAGATAGTAGAAAAGATGAGTTACTTTACATAATCTTTGTTATTGCTTAATATATTTACTATTTTGATTATCATAATAACGTTATTAATTAGACCATTGAACTTTTTAATCACATTATTGTTGCAAAATAGATAAGTACTGTAAATAAGTCAAATATTATGATAACAATGATGTAATAAATTTATATTTAACTAATATATTTTTGTATCTCAAGAAGAATAATAATTTTAAGTTAAAATGTAGGTCTACATCATATATATTCCTCTTTACTCGTGGTTAGATGGAAAATTTAATAAGCCAAAACCACATAAATCAATTCCAGGCTTTTTCATTCAAAAATACATTTAATCAAACTCTGATTGGTTAATTAAATTAAAGATGTTGGCACTATTTTTCTAGTTTTATTTAATACTGAGAAATGAGAAATTTTGTTTGTTTAAATAATATCCTCAAGTAATTTAGAAATTGATAATGAGCCAAAAAGAAGAGAATGCATAATCCATTATCAACTTTTAAAATAAATGTTAATAAAAATTTTGAGGTTAAAAGGGTGTAACATACTCTTCAGAAAAGCAAAGAAATAGCACCAAGATCCACAGGTGAAAATTATAAGTTTATATTACCTTTTCGACAGACTTCAAAAAACGGAGGAGGTTTTGAATTCAACTGTATTTTTTTAAATGTGTGTTACCTCAGAACTTTCTTCTAGGTGAACTGATTTTGATGATTCTTTTTTTATTTGAAAGCTGGTGCTTCTCAAGTGGTCTCATATACACTTGATCAAGATCTGACCAATAGTTTTTGAGTTATCCTTAATAATGCGTATTTAATTGACTTCGACAACATTGATGATGTTCTCATTTTATTTATATCGAAGTCAATTGTACAAATTTTTTAATTTTTGTCAATTATCTTCAGAATAAACTATATATCACATTTGTCAAAATTATTTCTCCATCAAAATATTTTGAAAAATTATCCAGTCCTTGAAATAAGTAAAAAAATTGTTTAAGCCAATTACCTTAAGCTTTTAATTTGTTTAGAACAGTACCTAAATAATGATTTCTTATATTTACGCGAACACTACACATTGAATAAAACTATTTTTACGGATTTTATCGCGTTTAATTAACTAATTTTATATTCCCGACGTTTCGGTTGCTTTCCAGCAACCGTGGTCACGGGGGACTGAGGTGATTGACGTCCCGATGTCAAAGTTAACCCGGAGTACCTTCAGCTTTTTAATTATTAATTTTGGTCTGATCTACGCAGAATGAACTAACTGTGTCTTGAAGTCTTACAGTGGTATGCTTGGGTTTAGTTTTGATTTTATGAATTACAGGATCCCAAGCAGGTGGTAGTACCCAGCCTCCCTCTCTATTGAAATTAGGATGTTTTTTAATTTCAATAGCCTCACGTATCATCCTTGGCAGGAATCGATGTTCTTTCGCGAGGACTTGTGGTTTATCAAATCTAATGTAATGACGGGGGCCGTCTAGGATATGATCACAAAGAAGAAGTCTGCAGTTTGTTCATTCTGCGTAGATCGGACCAAAATTAATAATTAAAAAGCTGAAGGTACTCCGGGTTAACTTTGACATCGGGACGTCAATCACCTCAGTCCCCCGTGACCACGGTTGCTGGAAAGCAACCGAAACGTCGGGAATATAAAATAAGTTAATTAAACGCGATAAAATCCGTAAAAATAGTTTTATTCAGTACCTAAATAAACTAATATTGTGTAATATGTATGAAATAGATGATAGTCACATTTAATTTTTATTCTATGATATCATACTGAAACTAACTAAATTTGTAATAAATTTAAAAATGTAACAGACCTATCTATCATTTTACTTTAAATTTAATACCTATCACATCTACATTTCACATATCACATACTATGTAGATAGGTACATATAGGTATATTTAATTTTTTTTAGAATTCAACAATCTGAGAATCACTTATATTCGGTTATCATTTTAAAAGAATATAGACTATCAACGTTTTAAATTTTGCAGTTATGTATATGATGAGGTTTCAAATATGCTGATTTAGTAAGATAAACCGTGATTAATAATTCAGAATTAGACCTTGAAAATTTGTAAGTAGTACAAAGTTCAAATACACCAACTCAGAAAGAACTTCATTAAAAAAACATTTACGCAATTTTGTAGTAGTACGAAAGTCACTTTAATTAACGTTTCTTTCTATACATTATCTTTCTGTTCGCTGATATTTCAAGAGATCTAGGATCTAGGAGTCAAACGCTAAGTAGCAATTTTAAATTATTCCATTTTGTCTGAATCAGTGAATTCCAATTGCTAAATTGAATTTCAAGTTAAATTAATCAAGTACCTTTAAACGTATAATAACGTTAATCATCGATTTATACATATCATTAAAAAGCCCAAAGTTTTTATAATATAATATATTATCTTAGTAAGTATACCTTTTAATTTCAGACGCGTCAGCACTTATCCAGTACACCACACACAGATAAATATCACAGATTACTGTAGATAAATATATATATAGCAAGTGGCTATATAGTACACCAGTAGTCCATTTTTTTAACTGGCTTTACGGCTCTGGGTTCTAGCCCTTCTGAGCCTGAAGTTACAATGTATTAACTTTACATTCATCAAAAATTCACTTTCATTTTTTATGTACCCATTATTATTTTTATTTTATATATATTTATTATTATTTTATTATTACCCATATTTTTTATATATATTTATTATTATTTTATATATATTTATTATTATTATATTATTACCCATATTTCACTTTACATGTACCCTGACCCCCCATTTACACTCTCGCGCTCGCGGCGAGGCGAGCCACGAGGCGCGAGTGTAAGCGCTAGCTCGTGGCTCGCCTCGCAGCTCGCCTTGCCACTCGCGGCGCTCGCGTCGTAGGCGGTTTTTTGGGCACGAGACAAAGGGCCTCGCGAGGGACGCGAGCGTGCTGTTTACACTCGCGTCTCGTTTCAGTTTGTTTACGGCGCCCTTCCATAATAACATTCGAATTGATTTTGTTTTTAAAATTACAATTTTATAAAATAATATTATGTAATCTTGCACAATACGTACTAGCAATTTATATAAAATTATGAGTCTGAAAAGGTTCTGTTTCGATGAAAGATATCATCCGTCATATTCTTCCTCGACGACGTATTTTTATTAATTTCCTTATTTTTAAAATGGTCAAGCATCGATAAAATACTTATTAAGGCAAGAGTTGATGCCGCTATTATTTCGACGTCTTTCATCGTTGCTGGTTCAACGCAAACCACAGAACACATATAACCCTAAAGCGCTTATTACATTATCCAATTTTTAGAAAATCTAATTAGGAACCTAAGTTGGAAGCTAGTGATCACATTACACTAAATTGAATTCTAAATCGTGACGAAGCACATTCGTAAAAGTATCGACGGGGTTGCACGTTTGATCGATGGCGCCGTATTTATCAAAACAGCAGAAAATAGGACTTGCCTTTAGCCGTGGTGGGAACAATGGATATTAAAAAAAGAAAAAAGGGAAAATGCTGGGTTAAAGAATACTTGACATTGAGAAAAAAACTGTCCAATATGAATATAGTGCATATTTTGGAACCTGGAACTTTAGAAATTTTTTAAGACTTGATTCTAACCAATTTGATTATTTGTTAAACTTGGTATCCAAACATATTGAAAAAGAAGTCACGATATTTCGAGAAAGTGTGAGTGCCAAAGAACGTTTGATGGTGACATTACGTTTTCTAGCCACCGTAAATTCATATCAAGATTTAAAGTACTGCTCTCTGATATCAGAACCGCTTCTATCAAAACTTATTCCAGAAACATGCTAGGCAATATACAAATGTTTGAAAAATTACATACAGGTGTGTTAATCTATAATATATTAATATATAAATAATAAAATCGTGAAGGGGTCGGTCTCTGTACAATGAAAATATTGGGAAAAAATGCATTCAGGGTAACTCGAGACCGGTAACAGAATGCATTGAAATTTGAAACTATTTTTAGAATTTTTATCTGTTTGTATGTTTATCTGTCTGTCTGTTTGAACATGATAAACTCGAAAACTACGGAACCGATTTATATTAAAATTGGTATGAAAAATGTATAAGCTCCAATTTAACATATAGGTCGAAAACCTCCTCGACCTCGGTCGAGACCTCTGATGCAGTAAAAAAGTTAGTATGTAAGAGAGGTCAACCTAAACCGGAAATTAAAATCTTGACCATGCGAACGTAGTCGCGGGCAGCAGCTAGTAGTAATAATAAAACAACATTTTAGTTATTTTAGTACTATTTATATAAGAAGTAAAAATGCTTTTAAATAATTAATTTAACGATTTAAGTTTGTCTGGGCTTAAAAATTAAAAAATCCTTCATGACACCTCCATATCCCTCTACTATGATTGGTGTTGAATTTTCTTCGTTTTCGGATGAAGCGAAAGTAGTATTTGGGAATTGTGACTGTGTATATAGTGATGATGAGTCAAGGAGTAATTGCATATGATTTTGTTGTAGTAGTGTATTATCAGGTAAATCTTGTTGAAGGCGTGGAGACGGCGTAGGCAGCGGTGCTTGCTGGTGGTGTAGCGGAGACGGCGTGGGCAGCGGGGATTGCAGGTGGTGTTGCGGAGACGGCGTGGGCAGCGGAGATTGCAGGTGGTGTTGCGGAGACGGCGTGGGCAGCGGGCATTGCAGGTGGTGTTGCGGAGACGGCGTGGGCAGCGGGGATTGCAGGTGGTGTTGCGGAGACGGCGTGGGCAGCGGGGATTGCAGATGGTGTTGCGGAGACGGCGTGGGCAGCGTGGATTGCAGGTGGTGTTGCGGAGACGGCGTGGGCAGCGGGGATTGCAGGTGGTGGTATCGAGACTGTGTGGGAAAAGGTGATTCGTTGGAATTTGAGTTGGACGAAATAGTACGTAGAGGTGTTCGTTGATAAGCAAAGGATCCTAAAATTATATGAGAATCTTCGGTTAGTCTATCAAGAATTGCATAATAAATAACGTCTGATATTAATTTTCGACTAATGATAAACTGCCTTTTATTTAAGTCACGAAGTTGGTGTGCAATAGATTTCCCTAATACATCAAACGAATCATCTTCCATAGTAATCAACTGATTTGCTTTATCCAGTATCTTTTCTTGTTTTGAAATTAATGTACTCGTATTTTTTCTCTTTTTTGATTTTGTTCCGGATATATTTGGACTTTCATTTTCTTCGCCTGATGACAATGGTGATTCCTGAAAGATAATAAACGGAAAGCTATAGCAGCTCAATTTGAATCTAAGTGGAATTTCAACAATTGTGTTGGGGCATGTGATGGAAAACACATTGCCATTCAAAAACCACCTGGAAGTGGTTCATTATACTACAATTATAAAGGATTTTTCAGTGTAGTATTATTTGCTATCGTTAATGCCAACTACGAATTTATTTACGTACACACTGGAACTAATGGATCTGTTGGCGATCGATCTATTTGGAAATCAACAGGTTTTTACAAAAAACTTGAAAATAATGAGTTGAATTTACCACCTCATTCTATACTTCCAGGCACAGATATTTCAGTGCCGTATGTCTTTTTAGGTGACAGTGCTTTTGCTTTAAAAAATAATTTCATGAAACCATTTCCATTTAAAAATATTACCCACGACCAACGGATATTTAATTATCGCTTGTCTCGAGTCCGCAGGGTGGTTGAAAATGCTTTTGGGATTTTGTCCACAAGGTTTAGAGTATTTCGATCGCCTATAGGTGTACAAGTTAATAATGTGGATCCTATTGTCTTGGCTTGCTGCGCGTTGCATAATTTTTTAAGAAAACAGACATTATCATATATAGCACCACGAGACATCGATAGGGAAAATACTAAAAATTTCACATTTCATAAAGGGGATTGGCGAAATAATACCGAAGGGCGTCTTCATTGCAACGAACTAGTGAAAATCAACGAAACAGTGAAGGAAACGAAGTACGTAATACGTTCATGAATTATTTCAGTTCTGTAGGGTGTTTCCTTTCAGGAAAAAATGATTGAGATTGTGCGTATGTAACAAATTGTCATGTTTAACGGTTATTTAAAAATATCACATATTATTTAATCATATAAAATATATATTCTTTTAATAAAATAAGTATAATTAACCTGCTATAACTTGTTGTTTTTATTTCTTAATTTTATAGTGTACTTACTTGTGAATCTACAGGTTGACGACATGGCTCCGCTGGAGAAGCTAAAAAATTTAATGCATCGAAGTACCACAGAGTTGGTACATATATATTATCTGTTCCTGCTCCAGTTTGTCTTGATGCTTTGACCTAAAAATAAATTAAATTTCTGTGAATTTTTAATTTTGATAATCTCGCCTGCAAAACTTTACAGGCAATGACACATGGTTAGAGTATTGCTCTTAAAAAATGTTGTGTTATTAACATTGGTTATAAAGGTTTTAAGGAAATATAATCGTATTAATCAATTATTTGAATAAAATTAAAGCGAAATTGATAGCTTGAAGCGTATTTTATATGTTTAAAGTATGTTTGTAACATAAGTGTATAATAAGATTTCTTAAGTTGTTGTTTATAACATACCTAAGTACCTAGTTGCCTATAAGATTTTGTACGTGGTAGAGCCATGCTGCAGCTATATTAGTAGTATAGTTGTAGCACGAATGGGTCGGCTCGACCGGGGAACGACCACGCTCTCACAGAATACTAGCGTAAAACAGCAGCTTAACGCTACTGTGTTTCGTTTGGTGAGTTTAGAGAACCGGAGACCCTTTTTACTGGATACGAGGCATTACATCTTAGTCCTCACGGGTGACAACGCATTGGCATTTAGATCCTTAATCGAAGGTATATGTAGATGTCTATGGGCCACAGCAACCACTTACCATCAGGTAGACTGTGTGCTCGTTTGTCACCCTTATCTTATAAAAAAAAAATTACGCGCGAAAAACATAACCATTCCTTGACAGTCAAGTAGGTAAATATAAACAATGTTTACCTTTTATAATTCTCTGAAATATGTGGTTTTGAGGTTGTCTATTTTTTTCTTTAATATTTTAATAGTTCCGTTTCTGTCATAGTTTTTGTAAATATTTAATAACACCTTGAAGCCCTCTTCACGCATTAATTATTAAATAGTTCTTATCATTTTTATTATATAAATAGGGCATTTCCCTATACAGGCCTATAATTTGTATTAACACCTCTTTTTCTGTGGACATGCTGCCATACGAACCATTGCTCAATTCTGTCGCTTCAGTCGCCATCACAAACAAATGTCGCATGCGCAGTCAAGACGTCCACTTAGGTCGAACTCGAAGCGCGGGCGCCGACTGGTCGTTCTAAGGCCCGCCATATACATACGGAATTCCGTTTCGAGATTCCGTTTCGGAATTTCGAACGGTCGGCCACACACAAACGGAATCCCGTTTTGCCCGCAAAATATCGAACGGAAAACTACCGTACGTGTGTGGCGGGTCATAGATTTTATATGGACTTGCTGCGTTCGGGATTCCGAATCGGAATATCGAAACGGAATCTCGAAACGGAATTCAGTATGTATGTGGCCGGCCTTAATCGTAACGTTGCGATTACACTGTCCTAAATTGTAGACAATTTAGAAAGTAGAGCGGTCGGGACCTCCAGCTTTAACTAAATCGGATCCTAACTGTTCTAACTATGATTACACTTTCCAATTTCCTAATTAGCTTTCCTAAAAATTGGATAATGTAATAAGCGCTTTAAGGGGACGCAAACTGACCGCATCGCGAGAGTGTAAACAGGCACTCGTTACCTCGCAACTAGAGATGAGACATACTTGCAAAGTTTAATACCAGGGCTTCTAAGTACGAGTATGGAAAAATACCAGGGTCGAAAACCAGGTTTTAAAAATACTTGAAAGGATTTGTTAATGTCAATATATATATGAATGGCTAATTTGATTCGGGCAAAAATTTATACTGAACGTTTTTAAATTTCTTTTGGTAACGAAATGAAATCTTTCCTTCCTACTTTTCGGCTTAGGACTTTTAATAAATAAAAGTTTTAAAACTGTCTCTAAATTCAATATACACGCGAAATAACTATTTAAATATTAGGTCACGGTCAGTAGGTTACGTAATCAGTTCACAATAACAATTGAATTTACAAGAAATCGAAACAAAACTTTTACTTCCTCGAATATAAACATAATTCTTATTACTTACTAGGTACTTACGCGACGTATCCAGCCGCGGTGTCAGTTTGAAAATACTTGCAAAGAGTATAGTAATATATAAGGAAGAATACTTGCATAGGAATTCGACCCGCTTTCCATGTTAGGCTACTATGCCTAAGGAGCAAAATCGTATAAATAAAAAAAATACTTTGAAGTTCAAAGTATTTTTCATTCAGAAATACGATTGAGTTTCTTATTACTATTGAGATATGGATCATTTTCCTATGCAAGTATTCTCATACTTGCAAGTATTTTTTGGTCGTAAAAGGACGTCGTACTTTAAAGTTAAAACCTGGTAGCGTAAATACGTCTCATTGCGACGCCAGGGACGTGTCCAGCCATGATGTCAAAATCGAAAATACTTGCATAGGAATTTCACCCGTATTCCATGTTATCCTACTATGAATAAGGAGCAAAGTCGTATAATTAAAAAAAATACTTTTAAGTTCTAAGTATTTTTCGTTCACAAATACTATTGAGTTCCTTACTACTATTGAGATATGGATAATTTTCCTATGCAAGTATTTTCATACTTTCAAGTATTTTTTGCTCGTACCAGGGCGCCGTACTTTGAAGTGAATACCTGGTTTTAAAACCTGGTAGCGTAAATACGTCTCATCTTTACTCGCAACAACACGCGAGCTGCGCGAGGCGAGGTACGAGGCGAGGCACGAGGCGAGAGTCTAAACGCGGTATGACGAGATTCACAGTTTGTTTACGTTTGCACTATTGATTAATATCACGTTGTTCTCATTTTTATATATCTTGGACACCAGATAGAAAGGAATATAGTGGTCGGAAGAATTTTTCATCAGCTAGTAAACTTTGAAGAGTATCAGGAACTTTATCATTGTTAATATCTTGAATTGAATTAATGAGGAGTAATCTATTTAAACCAAATTGACTGCATTGAAAAACCAGATGTTTTAGGTCTCCTTTCGTATCTCCACAATATTCACAATTTGCATTTTCTTTCATTCCCAAACGATGCAAGTGGGCGGCTACTCTACTATGTCCAAATCTCATTCGGTTTACAGTCGTAATGCATTTTCTATTATTAATCGCTTTTTTATTGTACCAAGGAGTGGCTGGCGGGGTTTTTTGTATTTCATAATACCAAATTCCTTTGGACTTGCTTATTTCTTCCCAGTATGCCTTCCATAAGGATCTCAAGTTCTTGCTTAACAAGGCATATATATCTGTAAATGGTATTTCCAGCATTGTCGAGTGGTCTGAACATGTTGATGAGAATACGTCTCTAGTGGCAATGTCTGCTTCCTCGTTCCCAGTTATCCCAGAGTGTGAAGGAACCCACATAAAGGTAACAGTCTTCTTTATTTTACTGAGACTGTTTAGTAAGTTTCTTATATTATATATAATGTAATTTTTTTTGTAATCCATTTTGTTAGATGCAATAGCTGTTATAACACTTTTTGAATCAGTTACAATTAGAAACTGTGAATTCGCAATGTTTTTTATGTACAATAAAGTTAAGTAGATTGCATAACATTCATCTGTAAAAATCAAATCATCAAACTCAGGAACTTCATAAGGAAGTATTTTTTTTAAAACTAAGTCATTTTTTGAACTGATTAATTTAACACAAAACCATTCAGCAATTTGTAGCCTTCTTAGTAAAAGTGGAGGAATACAACTTTCTACTTCCATTACATGGATTGGTGTAGAGCACATAGCCCCAGTTATTATACGCAACACTTTATTCTGAACTATGTTTAATCTTTTTAAAATCAATCTGTTTGCATTTAAGTATGCTAATGTGCTGTAATCAAAATGACTTCGGACTATACTTTTATAAAGCATTGATAACAACTTTGGGTCAGCTCCGCAATGCACACCTGCTAACGATTTTAATACATTGAGACCCCTACAGGCATTTTTACATTATTTACATGTTCTTGGAAAGTTAGCTTCTGATCAAGCAATATACCTAAAAATTTTTTTTTCTGTAACCAAGGCAATGGTATGTTATTATATTTTACAAAATTATCACATGTATAATATTTTTTGGAAAAAATGAGAGCTCCACTTTTACTAGGACTAATGTTTAATTTCAACTTATTTGAATAAAAATCATGAATTTGCTCTAATGCTAAATTTAAATTGTTTACCGCTATATTTACATCTTTATTTACAGTATATACAAGGAGATCATCAGCAAATTGCAAAAAGCTTATATTTCTATTTCTAATATATTTACTTATTAAACATGTATATATATTATATAACAAGGGGGATATAATAGCACCCTGCATGGTGCCTTTGTATACATTTCTAGGGCCATGTATTATGTTATTAAATTTAACATACATAGTTCAGTCATATAGCAAATTAAAAATCCATTTACATACTTTTCCAGGAATACCAATCTCACACAGAATATTTGCCAATATGGAAGGATCTACATTATCAAATGTACTTTGTATATCAATAAATGCACAAACTGTAGTTGCATGTCTGGTAAAAGAATGATTTATATCTGAGATCAAAGAGGCAATACTCTCTGCTGCACTTTTTCCTTTCCGGAAACCAAATTGTTATTCAGGTAAAATATTATTTACTTCTATGTAATAATCTAGTCTGTTTTTCAACATATATTCAAATAATTTTCCTACACAAGAGGAAAGTGAAATTGGCCTGCAGGAGTTGAAGTCATGTTCTGGTTTATCAGGTTTTAAAATAGGTATCACACATTGCGTTTTCCAAGACTTTGGAATACATTGATTGTCCCAAAGCATATAAAATATTTTTAAAATAGTTTTTTGTCCTTTAACATGCATGTTGCTAATAAGTTTGTATGGAATATCATCCAATCCCATAGTGGAATCTCTCCTTGATTGGATGGCTGCAGTAAATTCATGCCAAGTAAATTCTTTCAATAGAAAAAAGCTACTGTCAGTACCTATCTGATTAAATATTGTATTTAAGTTTAAAAATCTATTTCCTTTTCAGAAAGTGTTGTTATGGGTGCATACCCATAACATAACAAAAAATGATGATTGGATTCCTTCGTTTTTAGATAAATATGCATTTATCTAAAAACCAAACCAATCCAATCATCATTTTTTGATGGCTTATGTACAGGTACACTCTTAAATCTCCTAATATAATTCCAGATATAAGTTATTGGAGTATATCTATTAAATGAATCACAAATTCGTCTCCAACTTGTTTTCTTTTTTTTTCACTAATTAATCTCTTTTTGAAGGCATCAATCTTTTTATATTCTATATAATTTTCTATTGTAGGATTTAATTTGTAAAATCTTAAAGCATTTTTACTTTTCTTTACAGCTTCCAAACAGTCCGCGTCCCACCAAGGAACTGGTTTTCTCATAACAAACACATTAGGTTTGGAAATTATAGGTATACAGTCTTTCCTTATTTCTAGAAGTGTGTTGCAGAAGTTTTCATACGTATCAAGTAAATTTGATGTATCAATTGTGAAGTTTTCAAACTTTTTTTTTGTTTCAGCCTGGAACTTTGACCAGTCTGTTTTTTTATAATTGAAATGTTCACAAGGTTCTCCTATATCATATTTTTCAACACAAGTATATAAGTCGACTATGGTTGGATAGTGATAACTACCCATAGGATCATCATGTACATGCCAGTCACATAAATGAACTAAAGAAGGACTAACACATGAAATATCGATAGAATATTGATTAAAATTAATGCTTCCTATTGTAGTTGGAGATCCATTATTTAATATGCAAAGATTACATTCGTTTAACATGTTATAGATATCAGTGCCTCTAGTTTTTGTTGTGAGACATCTAAAAGCAATATGATGAGCATTTAAATCACCTGAAAGCAAAAGTGGCATAGGTAGACTGTTAATTTGTTTTAATCTTCTGATCTTAAAGCGGTACCTCCACTGGGTGGGGCATAGACACATAAAATGGATATATTACCTAGACTTGTAGTAAGGGTTATAGCTACCGACTGCATATAATCATAGAACGGTGTGGGGACAACAAAATATTTGAAACTATTTTTAATTAATATTGCTACTCCTCCATGTCCACTTTTTCCATTCCGATTAATGAAATTATAGTTAAGAATGTTGATAGTTCTATTCTCTCGCAGCCATGTTTCATTTAACAGGCAAATATCTATATCATTCTCAACTAGATAATTAATAAGCAAAGGTTTTTTTATTATTAACAGATTGTATATTAAATTCTGAAATTCGAATAAATTGTTTATTCATTGTTTTTAAGATTAGTAATAAGCATTTCTTTTATACTTGATGTAGTCAGTTTACGACCTGAGTTACCCATGGCCACCAATGCTCCAATAATTGATTTCAAAATATTGTCATTTGTTATAATTTGGTCAATAAGTGTGTCATTATTATTAGTTGTGGTATTAGTTTGAGTAGTTTCCGTCTTTGATTTGTGTACTTTAGGAGATTCATTAGATTTAACTTGTGATTGATCTGTTTTTGAGTCCATTGTTTTTTTTGTAGGCATTGATGGGAAATTTTCATTATAATTGTTAAATAAATTCTGAGTTTGTTTTGTTTGTAAGACTTTAGCATAAGTAGACCTATTATATTTTTCATCAATTTTTTGTTTTTTTATTGGACAATCTCTAGAAATTGCGCATTACCGCATTTTCCTTACATTCAGTGTACCAATGTTCACCTGCACAAATTGAACACCGTTGCTCTGATTTACAAATTTTAGCTCCGTAATTAAATTTAAAGCATTTAAAACATTGTAAAAGCGGGGCAATATACTGATGCACCCTAAATAGGAATAAATCCAGATGTACAAAGTCAGGTAAGTTGGTTGACAAAAAAGTTACACTTACAGAACTGAACGGTTTAATCTGTCCATTTACTTTTTTTTTGTGAAACGACGCACTGCAACGACCTCATATTTCGATGATAGTTTTTTAAACAGCTCTTCATTACTTATGCTAATGGGAACATACCTGAGTACCCCGATTGTTTCCACCGCCTTTGCTGGTATAAATACCTTGTAACCATACTTTTCTAAGAAACTTTCATTTTTCAAAAAGTCGGCGTTAATCGCCCGCGCAAACACCACCCCTACTTCATGGTAGGGATATTCGATATACACCGATGCATCGAATTCACTCGATGTTTACAATACGATGCATCGAACCGATCCGATGTTTTGGAAAGCTATTGATATACTCGATGTATCGATGTATTTTCATAAAACATCGAATCAATGATAACCAGTCAATTGTAAACAGGTATACTTATCTATCACTATTAATATTATAACTTCTAAATCAGAAAAACTAAAACATGCTCTGATTTAGAAGTTATAATACTCGTATAAACCTGTTGGTGACGCTAGTTAGCGGCTGTCAGTCCATTAGCGGAATCAAGAAATTGAGATTGGCTGGTTGTGTATTAAAGAAAATCGTCTGGTCTGTCTCGGTCTTAAGGCGGCTTCTCACTTTCGTGCCGCAGGGCAATCTAGGACGAACAGCGATCGGGGCAATATCAGAACTGTCTATACACACATGCCTGCCATTCTATGTGAGAGTGTACGTCTCGCTGGACACACGCGTTGAGAATGGCGCTAGTTTTATCAAAATATAAATGAATCGGTAAATATAGGAATGGCTCTTTTTATATAGAATAAGGGTGACAAATGAGCACAGTCCACCTGACGTTAAGTGGATACTGTGGCCCATAGACACCCATATTTATTGATAAAACAACTAATTAATTAATAATTACACCAATAACACAGTCTTTAAAAGCTGCAGTATGACTCTACCACGTTTAAAAACGTTACGACGTTCAGATAACGTTCTTTCTGCGGTGCTACCGCAAAAAAAAAAGACAAAAAGGAGATACTGGGTGAAGAAGCCGCCTCTTTATACACTTCTATCACCAGTGTCCAAATTTCATATTTTATTGGTATTCATTATGACGTGTGCTGCATGCGAAAGTCGCTTACGAACTGTTTGAAATTGCCCCATGTGGCGTGGTAGCTATGATCTAGGGAGCAAGGAAGATCTTGCGCCCATGTCGCTCTGCCGCAGGGCCGACTTAGTAAATTGCCCCTGCTTGCATACACACATCACAATTAAGGAGGCAATTAAGGGTCATCCCCACTCCTACACCCTAGATTGCCCTTGCGGCAGGCAAGTGATAGCCGCCTTAAGACCATTTAACCTCAGACTCATCTCGCATAATTATTCCCCTCTGCCAAGGTATTGGATTTAAAAGCTTGTGCGTTTATAAAAACTGCTTAAGAAATCGATTTTATTATTACATGAATCGTTTCCGCCGAAGTAGGTGCTCTTCAAAAAATACCGATCGGTGCGATCATAAAGCAGTCAAAATACTTAAAATTTACAAAAGATGGAGTTATATTCCATATGTAAGTATTTTTATTGTGATGCATGCTTTCTTTCTATTAAAATCATTTAAAATAATATCGTAAACATTGACCTACTACTAAATGGACCTCGGATCTGCTCTCAAGTGTCCGAGTCAAAAGAGTTCCAAAATGCAAAGAGAGTTGCAATTGCGCGCCAGTCTTCGTTTTGTCGATTGATAATACACTCCAAAATTACTGTATCACAAAACGAGAAAAACTATTTATATCTATATATATATTTTCGATAAGGACTATTTTAATAATTTAAAAGTAAAATTTTGCTTAGACACAACGTACGTAGTATTTAAATTAAATTCACATTAATTGTAAAAACAAAAAATCAATCCGATAATTTTCGCTAGAAGCTGCATAAGATGAAAACAGCTTCTGGTTGTAGTTGAAAGGCTGCTAAATTGTCTCAAGTAAGATTATATATAAATAATACGTTTTTATAGGTTGACTCGGGACACATTTTTCGTGAATTTTGTTCTAGAACCGCCGTTTATTTAGTAGTAGGTACAATGACTAATGACCATTAATAATAATTTATTTATTCTTTATTACATTCCTTAATATAAAATAATACAAAGGGCGAACTGAAAATGTGTAGCAGAATAGAATAAAAACAAAATAAAAAATAAATAACTAAGATATATATACATTTTACTAATATATAAAATAAATACATACAAATATAAATAGTATATATAATTCACTGGGAGAGAATGCCTTAAGGCATTGTGTCTTACATCCTTGAACACTCACATACACACACTCACACACAACGCCTGCGGACAAAGACAGTGCCGATGTAAGAGTAGATCATTCAAAATTGTCGATTATTTGAATGGGGATGTCAGGAAGTTGACTACAGATTTATAATGTAAAGTCATAAAAAGTACTCGATGTTGCAAAAACATCGATGTTTCTAACCGATGCATCGAAATATATCGATGCACAGTCTCGATGCATTACATCGAAAAAAAACATCGATGTATATTCAAAGTGGACACCCCTACTTCATGGTGGCACTTCACATGGCTATTTGTATTTGCGTATTTGGGGTATTTGACAAATAACTTCCATGTGTGGAGAGTATATTTGCCGTAATTATTGCCATATTTGCCTATTTGGCAAATATAGCCAATAACAAATACGGCTTACCGATCGTCTGTCGGTTTTTCAAGGCTCATCAAAGGACACAAATAGGCAAATACGCAAATATACTGGCCACACATGGTCGGGCTCATAAGCGCGCGAACTGTCAACCAGTACGGACGGACCTGTTTATAACCTCTTAATAAGTGATTATTTAGGTACCTACAGAAAATGAATTGGAACAAAGAAACCGTTGTAAGTTTTCTTGAACTTTACCAAATGAACCCATGCATTTGGGACCTTGGAAACGAGGGGCATAAAAACCGGCAACGAGTACACCACGCGTGGAATACCATTAAAGACAATTTGGGGGTACTATGTACCCTGCAAGTCAAAAAGAATAGAATAGAATAGAATAATTTTTTATTCAATATAGATCACATGTGTAAGTAATTCTTATTGAAAGTCATTTTTCACTTTACCACTGGTTCGAAAAAACACCTCCGTCCTGAGAAGAACCAGCAAGAAACCCAGCGGGACTTTTTTTAAAAAGCAAATTTTACATTAATGATTGTACAAACTATATAAGTACAAAATTTATTTTGGAAACAGCTTGGAAGCGACCACCTCATTCCCAGGGCTTATTATCAACCATGTATTCATTTATACTATAATAACCCTTTTTATACAGTTTCAACTTAACATCTGCGTATCGAGGTTACAAAACCTAAATAAAGAAAAGCGAACGATCCGGATCAGATGCAGCCGATGTGTACCAATCAAGTTGGTTTGCATTTGCATTTACGGATAGTTAGATTTTTATGCACGGTCAGCAATGCTGACTCAGCATCCACCATCGCCT